ATCTTTTGAAGCCCTAATCGAAATATCCTTTAATTACCAGTTTGTGCTGCGCTAGATCTTAAGCTTTTACAAGACACCTCAATCGTAAAAATCAGTGAAGTAGGTCGGGTTGAAAAGGACTGTTACAACTTATTGAATTATAAATATGGATAATGTTAAAACAGACATCGACATATCGCATGTTTACTACTGGATATAAGAAGGTAAAGCAATTTATAAAATCAATTACAACAATGATTATTGGCCGATACGTGGAAGAGCTGGCCACGTGGGGTAGATTTCCGGGGGTAGATTTCCGGGGGTAGATGTCTGGGGGTAGATGTCTGGGGGTAGATGTCCGGGGGTAGATGTCTGGGGGTAGATGTCTGGGGGTAGATGTCCGGGGGTAGATGTCTGGGGGTAGATGTCCGGGGGTAGATTTCTAGTCGCGGGCTGTTTCTCGAAAGTGTATAAGCCCCGCCTCTCGTGACGTCAAAATGACGTAGGCGTTTTTTCATGGGGGTAAATATCCGGGGGTAGAAATCCGCTACCCCATTTTTGTTAAACTTTGTACAACTAAATCTAGACTTCTACAGGACCGATTTTGATAATTAATGAGTCATTGGAAAGCCTTACTCATGTAGATTTGCAAATAATTATGAAAGTTTGATTTTATTTAATATTTGTGGTAGAAAAATAAAAATAACAAAAATACATTAAAAACTGTTTTTTTCAGGTTTTTATTTTCAAGTTTATATTTGTAGTCAGCTTTTGGCTGCCTTTATTAAATAATTTCAAGAAATACACACAAGGTATTTGTAGGAAATTTTATCTTCTTTCAGAATATTACGTGCATTTTCTACGATTTACTCACCATTTAAAAGTTATTGTCAAATTAGATAAGTGACCTCCAAATTTTTAGTTGTTAAAAATACTGAATTAGGGATATTTTTGTTAAACTTTGTACAACTAAATCTAGACTTCTACTGGACCGATTTTGTTAACTAATGTATCGTTTGAAAGCCTAATTTGTGTAGATTTGCAAATAATTATGAAAGTTTGATTTTATTAAATATTTGTGGTGAATAAAGAATAAAAAGCAAAAATACACTAAAAACTAATTTTTTTTATAGTTAATATTTTAAAATTTCAATTTATAGTTAACTTTAGGTTGCCTTTTTTAAATATTTTCAAAAAACGCCGAAGAGTACTTTGTAGCAAATTTTATTCTCTTTCAGAATATCACCTTCCACTTTGGTCGATTTCCTCACCGTTTAAGAGTTATTTGCAAAAAAGCTTAGCAACCTCCTAATTTATTGTGGTGAGAGAATATTGAATTGGAGAGATTTTTGTTAACTTTCTACAACTAAATCTACAGTTCTACTGGACCGATTTTATTAATTAATAGGTCAATAAAATCTGTGTAGATTTCCAAATAATTAGTAAAGTTTGAGTTTTATTTATTTATGGTAGTAATACGTTTGCCGGTATGAATAATCTAAAAAAAATTATGGTAGTAATAATGGGTTAGCCAGTATGCATCATCTGATCATATGGAACACATGTATTAACCTATAGTTTAACAGCTGATTGTTTTATTGTTATTTGCTTGATTTTTCTTGGTTTACATTTAGTTGTTCACTATTTGAATTGGTGGTTGAGGTCCGTAAAGTGTGTTTCTAAAGTGATGTTTTTAATCTGTACCATTAATAAGTATTGGTATAATGTTGCTACGAAATCTTAACACAAAACGGGGGTTATGTAATGGCACACGATTAATTGTTAAAGAACTCAAGCCCAATTAAATAATTGCAGAGGTTTTAACTGGATCAGCAGCACGTGAAATTGTATTCATTCCAAGGATTGACTTAGCACAGACGGATACAGATTTACCATTTGTTTTAAAAAGACGGCAATTTCCTTTAAAATTAGCGTTTGCTATTTCAATAAACATAGCGCAAGGCCAGACATTGGATAAAGTTGGGATATACCTTCCAGCAACAGTATTCAGCCATGGACAATTAATTGTATGTTGCAATATCAAGGGCTAAACGGTTTGAAGACATAAAAACTAAAATTATCCCTGGCAAAGAACAAGGAAGATTATTAAAACCATCAGATGAAGTCTTTACAAAGAATGTTGTTTACAAAGAAATACTGTAAATAAAATATTTTTGGAAAATTGTATTTGTTTTTCATTATTTTACTCTTTTAGAAAATCAGTTTATTTTCTAAACAATTTCATTCTTTAAAAAATGTTCAGGTACTTACAAGGGCATATATTATGTACTACTGTACTTTCTAGGGACCGTTGTATTTATTAACTACAACGGGCTCTGTTGCTAGTAAATTTATAATTTAAATTATCTCCGTAACCGTTAGACATACAACAACGCTTCAATATACAAAATTATTTCTTTAGCAAAATCCTTCCGCTGGATATTGAGATATATATATTTATTCTATTTATTTGTCTATGGTATTACAGACACACAGACAAACAGACATAGCTCGTATTAGAGTATAGGATTGAAGGTGCATCAGCTGTTAGAGTTGTTGTTATTTATATTTTGTTTGTTTACTTTTTCCCAGAGTTAATATTTTATTTTCATAATAGGCTAGGTGTTTACAATTACAATAAAGTTGTACTAGTTTTGATTCTGCTACACAGTTTTATTTTTATACAATAAATTTTGTTTAAAATATGCAATAAGTACGATTGAGAGTTGCCAGTATAATTTTAATGGTTTAACGCAGGTTAGGAACTCAGTTACTGGGGCGAATCTCTTCGATTTTCACAATCTTTAAGTTACATTTTCACATGACATAATTGTAACACATTTCCTAATAGATTCCTTCAATCATCTGTTAATTATAAGCAATAAATACCAATAAAAATAAATATTGAAAAAATGATTCAAGACAACAAACAAAGAAAAGTAACACCGGCAAAAATTGTTAACAAGCGACGTTTTGCAGACGTGGTATATAAAAATCTGTAGGTTTATATATCAAGTTTTATTTTAAAAATGTTACAAACGAAAAAAATACTCATAACTTTTATAAAAAATACAAAATAAATATAAAATGCCTTGTAAACAATTGTAACGAACGTACGTATTTATATTTCAAAAAAATACATTGGGTCATTTTCACCAATTAAGTGAATATAAGAAAAAAGAGTTTAATCCCGTGGTGGATCCAGCCATCAATTCATTATATTCAGTAATATTTTTGCATTGATTGCGTTTATATTTTCTGTAATATATATTTAACTTACCCAAAATGCGTAAAAAGAAGCTAGCAAACCTAGGCGATTAGGCCTGGATCAATCAGTACTTGACTTAATTTTTGACATTTTTAGGTTTATCAAGTCAATCCCGTTACTTTATCTCTCTGTGAACTGAAACAGGAGAACGATTCGTTCTAAAAGAGTCGTTTTAGAACCTAGTTCAGCTAATCTCTCCCTCCCCCCGGTCGAACCCCTATTTGTCCCTAACTTTCCGTGTCCCTAACTTTCCTTGTCCCCATGTTTCCTAAACTCATACCGGGGGAGATCATGGCAGGGGGGGACCTTTCCGGGGTGTGCATATTGAAAACGATCGGGGTTAACGTATCCGGTTAGCATCAATTCTAATTAGAAAATCTGGTAATTGTATATGATAAGTGAATATCATATACGCATTAGTGAATTATCTAATTAATACGCAAACTCAAAAATAACTCGTCATATCGACGAGTGCATGCTGCAACTGAAATTAAGTGTCCGCGGCCGGAAACATCACCCCCCGGTCTCTGACGTCAATATGACGTAGGGGGGTGATGTTTCCGGGGGCGACCTTTCCGCGTCCCCAGTGCTGCCAACGTATTTCGTGCGCATACTACGTTGACTGCATGTTACGCGCTCACTATTTCGTGCCTTCACGTTGCAAATCTGGAGTGAGACAAAGTAATTAGAGTGAGACAATGTTAACATTGTCTCACTGATGAGCGAATTGGCCACTTTGCTTTCTCAAATCAGTGAGAGAACATGTACATTGTTAGGTAACTGTAGGAAAAAATATATTCCTACCCATTTGTCTATGATAATTCCTCCAACACGCCATACCATGAATACCATGGCCTAGACATAGACCATGGCCATGGGCATAGAATGGATATTCTGTTTAGGTACAGAATTAATGTTTAAAACTGACTAGTTTTTTGTAACCAGTCCTAAAGATCTTAGAATAAGTTGTTTATTCAATTTGAGTAAGATAAAACATACTCCCTTAGTCCCTTGGTATTATGGTATGTTATAATTAGTAGACTATAAATACAGGGTGAGTCAACTTACTTGTTAAGGTGTCTACTACTGATTTCAGACAAACCACGTTGGCCTCACAATGGTGAAATGAAATATTTTCCAACTATTACAAACCCGAGGAATAACTTATAAATATTTTAAATGGTTACATGACATGCGTCTAGGGCAGTGTTTCCCAACCTTTTTCCGTTCAGGGCACACTAACTAGAAGAAGTTTGTAGTCACGGCACACTTGTCTACAAAATACCGTTGGTAAAAATTACATTTCGTAAGTGCATAAAAAACTCTTTTTACAATTACATCTTACTCCGTAAAACCTATTTTTATTTTTTACTAGTACCTATATATATATATATATATGTATATAATATAAAGGCGGATTTACCAAGGTAAAAAATATAAAACTCACATTTGTTATCCAACATATGTACATTATTTAGTGTTTATTAGGTGGAAAGTTTTAAATAATAATAAAAAATTGAGCTTGAAAAAATTTTTTTATGAATTTACCAATAATGAGTGAGAAATATTTAATAAACCCTGGTTTCAGTTCTAGTAAGAAATTTGTGCTCGACGTTTTCTCCCAAAGGTGTATAGTCAATAGTTTTAGGCCCGTGCCAGTCTCATGGAGACAGCTGGTCAGGAGACAGGTTCCATCATACAGTCTGTAATAGATTGTATCAGCCAGATATTCATAAGAGTCTGTATGTTTCAGTATGCTGTGTATACAGGAAGAGTTGGGCCAGCTAAGTGTGGGCGCTCCGCCTATCCAGGTACAGACACAGTCTAGCTCGGACTTCTCTGTTTCTACGTTCAATGAGACGGCCGGCAATAGTCTGCCGCCGGGCAAGGAGGGGTGGATAGACGGACTACTCGGCTGTCTCAGACCCGTCTGGACCATCATCGGGAAGGCTGCGGCCAATGAGATCAAAGGTCACAGACCTGGTGAGTTGATTGTTAATACTGTCAAATAAATTAATTTTTGAAAGAGTAAACGATTACTTATTTATTGTTATGGTTCTGATTTGCGGAACTGTGTGAATGGCTTCAGTTACTATCTTTGAATGTCCACAATCACAGATTTCTAATTAGTATCTAAAAACTAGAGTCTACTATTTTTTAGGGTTTACCATAGACAAATAGAATTAAATATAGACCGACAGCAGTGCTGCGGTTAACATATGTTCTGGCGTCCATCACATGCTAGGTAAGCGGTCCAAGTGGTGGACGCCAGAACATATGTTAACCCCAGCACTGCTGTCGGTCTATGGGTTTATTTAACCCTTGAATCATATTTATAGAGTACTAAACTTGAAACAATTTGTATGGTTATCCTTTATATGCATTTATCTTGTGGCTAGGGTTGATTTAAGATAAAATAGATTTTACTCTCAGTTACAGAACTAATATGCTCCAATTTCAAATATGCTTTATTTAATCATGTTTTTTTTATGCATTACTGAAAATGTTATTGGTAGTACCATAGTACATATAGTTTTGACTATTAGATTTCAAAGCAATGAAGCTCTGAAACTAGTCACCTGTGAGATTGGTTAATTTTCAAAGCCAATGTTTGTAACCTACTTTGGAGGATTTGCAGTTTTTTGTTGGCTTAAGTCTTCTACCAATATTAACTTACAAATTTTTAATGTAGGTACCTAATATGTAATGCATATAAATTGTGAAACTTAAAACATTAATTGTTGTGTATAGTTGTAATTGCCTTTGAAAACATATCCTACAAAACAATTTAATACAGTTCATTAACGTGTGTTTATCTTGATTCAGATGACTGGGAAATACCTTTTGAAATGATCAGTGAGCTACATTGGCTGGGATCAGGAGCGCAAGGGTACGTGTACAGAGGGAGGCTGAAAAATGAATACGTCGCTGTCAAAACTGTTAGAGAACAGAAAGAAACTGACATCAGGCATCTTCGTAAACTCAACCATCCCAACATTGTACAGTTCAAGTAAGTATTTTACTTATTTGGAATCTTTTTAAACTTCCGAGTTCCTTTTTTCAGCTTTATTGGTGGATATAAAATTAGTACAGTAACAAATAACCAGCAACCCACAGGTTTGAAGGCGGGAATATAACTGCCGATATGCTCATTTATTCAGTGCAACAATATACAACAATGTCACCTCGATAACAAGTGTCATTTTCAAATCTCTAGAATTTATTTTACCCCTAATCACAAGTTATTGCAAACCTCGATAGGAAGTCAACCTCGATAAGTCTTATCCCATTACCATGAAGCCAATAGATTATGTGTGTTTGTGTTTGCAGAGGTGTTTGCACGCAGGCCCCTTGCTACTGTATCGTGATGGAGTATTGTCAGTACGGGCCGCTGTACAACCTGCTGAAGGAAGGGGAGGAGATCCCGCCCCAGCGACTGGTGACGTGGGCCAAGCAGATAGCGGCCGGCATGCAGTACCTGCACTCCAACAAGATCATTCACCGCGATCTCAAGAGTCCCAAGTAAGACAAGCGGCAACGGTATGGGTGTAACACAGATGTCTTAAAAAAGTAAACTCAGTTTGAAAATCATGTTTATGTAAGAGTATCATTTTAGGGTTTGCATTGATTTGAAAAGATGTAGTCACGTCCTGCCTCCTGCTATTTTTGCTAGTATAAACTTTCTTAAAATGAAGACAATGTGATTTCTGCCAATTTAGGTGAGTTGGTGGGTGGATCAGTCAGTAGCACGACACAACAAATCTCAGTGATGTACATTCACACCCTCGTGTCACTGCTAAATTTTGTCAGTACAGTTCACTCTAGTACTGTACCAGCTCAGCTTTTACCATGTGAGTTCCAAGGCTTATGTGGACGGGCAAGAGAAAAATTTAAAAAGAGGTTATCAAGCTTTAAAACAAAAAATCGCAAGAATATTTCAAATTTTCTAACAATATTTTTTTACTGACGTAGTTCTAGCTGAAGTACAGTTTATTTCGGTTAAAATTCCCAGGAAAAAAACTATTCTGGAGGTGAATGTAACTCCGAGAGTTGGTTGATAAACCATGGTTGCCGAAAAGTACACACTTCTGCCGGAGACTTATTTGATTTTTGCATTGGAATATATTTGCTCAGAGACATTTCAAACCTCACTAAATAACTCTGAAGAACTGCTAGTTTTTTAAATACAGTAGAACCCTGGTTAATGAAATTCGGGTTAACCGAAACAGTTCCATAAAATAATACAAGTAAAATATGCTTTGGTAACTTCAGTGGCTTAGTTTAAAGTATTTTCTAAACCATTGTAACATTTTTGTAGCTGAAATAAAACACTGTATTATATAGACGTTGTTTTAAATTCACTTTGCCTACACACCGTGGTAATACATAGGCTATTTTGAGCATATGAAATATTGGTTTTTTCCAAAACGGCTCTTCCCCCTTTATTTCGGCTCACCAGGGTTCTACTGTATGGTAAAACCATATCTGGATTGTTTTCCCAATCGCAACAATGTTAATTGTAAAATATGGAATTATTTTCTTCACTATTTCTTGGCTCATTAAACTCAAGAAGTTTTTTGATTTCTTAACTTTATGTCGACATATTTATATGTAGTTATTAAAAATAAGTTCACCAATAATACACATAAACAATTCTGTTAAACAGTATTAAATATTAGAATGCTAATTTCAATTCGTCTATTGCAGTGTTCTCATTGGATCTGAGGAAATAGTGAAGATTAGCGACTTTGGGACGAGTCGACAGTGGAACGAGATAAGCACAAAGTTCAGCTTTGCTGGGACGGTGGCTTGGATGGCTCCAGAGATCATCAGGAACGAGCCTTGCTCAGAGAAGGTTGACATATGGTAAGGATCTTAAATTATCGAAAAAGGTCTGTTTACAAGTATCCTGCAGATTTAGTTGTGAATGACACTCGTGCGCAAATAATTGCACATTATAATAAAGTTCAAAACTTTTTTCCGTGGCAAAACAAATATACAACACTCTGCTTTTACAAAGGGTATGTGTATAAACAATTAACTGAAGGAAGCTGTTATTTTATGGTTTACATTTTAGTACCTGGGGACCGATCTTTGCTCGGGAAAAATCTTTAGTTTACTTTGAAAGCAGTCTTTAAATGCTAGGGGGTGACCAAGTCCTAAATGAAATTACTCTTTAGTTACCATTTGTCCCTCCGCTAGGTAACTTTATAAGTTTCAAAATGATACATAATTTGTAAAAATCGGTTCAGCAGGACAGGCGAACATGGGCGGTTTTGTATTAAGTATTACAAATTGATCAGGGCCCTTGAGTTTGTTTCTTTTTGATGCAATACATTTCTTTCCAACATTAATTGTTGTTTTTTAAATCTTAGTCATTTTTAAAGGAATTCCTGTTATATGTTTTAAGTATATTATTCAGCTAACCGTCAATCGAGGATTGTTTGGTTTAACTATACAACATTTTATTCATTTACAGTTTAGTATGAACTGTAGATATCTTTAGAATCTTTGTAGTCCATTATTTTAAAACAATAAATTTTACTTTGCAGGTCGTACGGAGTGGTCTTGTGGGAACTTCTCACCTGTGAGACGCCCTACAAAGACGTAGACTCGTCAGCCATCATCTGGGGTGTCGGCAACAACTCCCTGCACCTCCCCATCCCCTCGTCTTGTCCTGAAGGCTTCCGTCTGTTGATCAAACAGTGTTGGAGTGCCAAGCCTCGTAACCGACCCAGCTTCAAACACATCCTCATACATTTGGACATTGCCGCCTCGGAGGTCCTAAGCAGCTCACCGGAGGACTACTTTAAAACCCAAGTACGTGCAAATTTGTCAAATTTGTGATGAGTTCTTAATGACTTTAGTCTCTAGGTCTGACATGTAAGACAAAAAAAGCTTGTTACTTTGGAGGGGTTAAGAAAAGCTTTTGGGACGAGTGTGAGAAGAGAATAATTCAGTCTTGTAAATCTAGTGTTGAAAACAGTTACAGAACCAAACTTTGGGGACTTTGGGGCTTACTCCTTAAAAGCCACAAATGTAAACACATTGGCCTGACTTAAATCATACTTGACACCAGCGTAGATTCCCCTCACGTCATTCCTTACAGTAGTAACAAACAACTCTTCAACTTTTTTCATTGTAGTAACAATGAAAAAATCATACCATAAGGTTCTGGTATGATTACCAAGAACCTGGTACCAGAACCAATAGTGATTTCTGTTGTCAGATTTTAACTACCTTCTGTCACGACTAGAGCTCATTGCAAACACCCTCATTTTTGTTTTAGCAGTTTTGAAATTGTGAAAAAAACCTGTACTGCTGACCAAACAACACTACCTCTAGACTAACAATCCTCCTTTTCCTAGGCTTCATGGAAGAAAGAAGTGCAAACCCACATGGAGCAGATGAAGTCAAGCGGAACTCATCAACCGAAATTTGAGTCTGAGGACTTAATAAAAAAGCGGGAAGAGGAGCTGAAACACGTCAGAGACATTCAGGAACATTACAGGAGGAAGCTGGAGAGAGTCAATGAGTTGTACTCGGACCTAAAAACCGTCCTTCAGCGGGTGAAGGAGCGGGAGCAACAAGTGTCCAAGTAAGCTTTATCTTTGCTAAGGTATCCATTATGGAAATCATAAGTAGAAGGTGTTGTTTATAGTTTAATCTCGCTCGGATTAATGTTACCTGCCGAGTTGTTTGTGTCTTGGACTTCAGAGCGGGAAGCACAAGCTGGAACACTTAAAAAAATTTCTTTTGCTTAAAAGCGTTTGTGATTAATTAACTATGATAACATGATAATATAAAATACCCCTGCCACAGCAAACCTGCAGACTAAGCGAATTTCCATTTACCTGGCTGGATTTCTACTAAAATATTCCCTGAAAGTTGTCAGATTTATTTCCTATTTAAATAACATTTATTTTAATGAGTACCTAGGTTTGTTGCTACAGGGAAGGTATTGAGGTGTGTTTTTGATTGAAATGTTGATAGCTTAGTATGAAATAAACAAAATTGCCAAATTTGATTTAAATATGTCCATAAACAAGCAAACTACAACAGTTGATCAATTCTCCACAAGAATAACATGGGAGTTTTAAATTTTAAGTTTTTTTTATTACCTCCGTAACTGTTAGGCATACAAAAGGTTTTTGAGCACAGTTCTAGATGTTAAAATGGCTTCTAGATGTTAAAGCCACTATACAGCTTTAAAATAAGTAAATTTCCATGTGGAGGACCCCCGAACATCACTAAAATGATCCCTTAGGTGAATCGTCTAGCAGAACTCCCACACAAAAACCATATAGTGCAAAGTTGAAATGTTATTCATTATGTGACAGGAGAGAGAAGCAGTGGATGATCCATAAGAGTGGCAAGAGGAGATTCGCCCGGCCGCCGCTGCTGAGGGCACAAGTCCAGCGAGGGGAAGCAACGAATATTAACTCTCCCGACAGCCTCACTACCAGTCCTGAATCTCCCCAACACGTAAGTAGTCATTCAAAACAAAAACCATATACAGTTTTTTTTTTTGTTCAAGACGCTAAGCGAAATAAAAAAATGCAAAATGAAATTTTTTGAAGACTTTCTTCTGACTCTAGCGGCTTGTCCCCCTGAGGAAGTAGTAGATCACTGAGTATGTGTTAAAATAAATTTTTATGTGCAGTATCTTTGTGTAATGTTTTGTAGCTCTATTTTAAATATTTCAAAAAATATTTAACCAACCTGAGACATTTGGACACCCTGTATAGTATTTTTTTATACCAGCCAAGGCCTAATAACAGTTTTGTTTCTAGAATCTTTCAACCAAAAAAAACCTTACACTTTCAGTGAAACATTTGATTTAACACTGATTTTCTCATCTTTTCTCAGAGCCCTGTGAAGGTGTCACTGTATGCCCAGTTAAACAGCAACGCTCACCCCGAGTCTGTTGTTTTGCCATACGCAGTTATGCCGAGACCTAGGAAAGTGAGGCTGCGGAAAGACAGTCTCGTCCCGTCCCCTCGACATAGCCCTGCCAGGGAAAACAAGGTTAGACTCCTACACGTAACTGTCGCTCCTAGTGTGATTAGAACAAACAAAAGATTCAAAGGAGAATTTGAGTTAGGCTGTACTATAAAGGTGTAAAATGTTTGGAAATATAATGTCAATTGCCTGGTTTTGAAATGATACCCGAACCCTCGGGTCCACTCGAATATTTCAGGGACTTGCAGACGCCTAACAACGTGGGTGTAAATTTTGCAGATTTTCAAACCACAGTGTCATTCAAGGTTAAGACATGCGAATGTTGCTTATGAAATATTAAAGACATCGCTATTGTGATAGCATGAATGTGTATGTTTTAGGCTATCGTAGAGAGCAGCAGTGACGAGGAGCCTAGCGTAGTTCACACGGAGACTCAGACAGAGGCGATGGACATCAGTGACTCAACTCCTCGGTCTCCACTCAGCCCTACAGACAGTCTCAACGGCAACGTGGAGCCTTCCAATCAGGTAGACACATTCACTGGAATTAATGTAGGATACTTATTGTAAATTCAAAACTTATGTTACTGTACACTAAGATAAATGTATTATAGTACTCATCTAAGCAAAATAAGAAGTCTTTCAGACATATTACAGAGTAACAATAGTAATAAATTAGAGACCAAACGTCTGGTTAGTTTATTTTGTCTAATCTATTTGATATATAAAAAATAAATTATTTCCTGTTCAATTTACAAAAACAATCCTTGTGTCAAACCAACGTCGATTGTCACCTAAAGGTGTCTGGTCTCAGGTTAGGTGTTTTTAAGTTTTTATTTAACTTCTGTGTGATCTTTGGCAACTTTTCCTATCCTTTCTTGTATCATTTGTTCAGCTGCTATGTACATTGTTTGTTGTACGTTCACTTTATATGTTACCTAGATGTCGGAGAGTACCGTGAAGGAGCGAGTCAGTGATGACGACAACCTAGAGCAGCTGGGACGCAAAGTGAGCGAGATCCTTCACAATGGCAACCCTCACTCACACACACCCGACAGCTCTGACGACCACGACTTCATGTACACCCTGCGCAGGAAGAGGTGAGCGTTCCTAATATCAGGTGTCACCAGGGTTGCCACTATGGTTAGTGAAAAATCGGGATGGCCCCCCCTCCCTCTCTCTCTCTCTCTCTCCAGGATAAACATGTTTAAAGTTGTGAACTATACCGACAGAATCGAGATGGGTGGCCACTCTGGATGTCATAAAAGTTGGCTTACTTTTTAAGGCACAAACGCTAAAAAAGAGTAGTATAACAATTCAGTTCAAAAACAATTTTTTTCATGGAGTAATCTCTACAGATAAAGTGAATTGTGTCAAAACCTAATTTACAGAACAAAAAAAATCTTCCCATAGTAATACTATCATTAACTATTGAATACCGAAGTAGACTCCCATCTATGTGGACCAGCTGAAAGCGTAGTTGTGGTTGCCAGTCACAGAATGTGATAGTGTCTAAAATTCTATTTTATACGTTTTTTTGTTGCTGACCAGGTTGATGGGTCATAACAGTTGCTATAGCTCACCATAGTCATTCCCTATGTTTGACTTGGTAAAAAGGTTTGTGTATTCAACAGAATTTAGTAAGTAAGATCAGCACAATCTGTAGTTGGCTCACATCAACTAAGACGATTTTGACAAAAAATATGGCTACAAAATACAAATACGAGTTTAGGTTTGGAAAGAAAGGGCTAATTGCCTGAGAATAGGTGTGAGAAAGGATAGGATAAGCAGGCTTGCCTTAAAAAATGTAGGCATCCCACTTCATTCACTGCAGAACACAGAAGGAAACACAAACAATTAACAAAATAAACACTGGATATTTCGAGGCCACTGGCCCCTTTCTCAACATGGAGAGTCTCATTAGATATTTAGAGTCTTTTCAAAAAAAAAATCTCTCTGGAAAAGACTCTAAATATCTAATGTGACTCTCCAAATACGAGTTTAGATGTAGTATACTAGGGATTTAGAATTGCCAGTGCTGTAGACCATTAGGTCTGTCCAATGGCTGAAAGATCCAAGTGTTGTTTCCTCTGTTGAAAGGCAGCATTAACGGCTTACATCCCGTCTAGGTCAGGTATACTATCCGAGTTTATCGGTTTGTGGCAAAGAAGCCCAAGCTCCACAAATAAGACCAGGTCCCTGAACAATCCTGAAATACAATCTTTGTTTTGAGATATAACTTACTATTATTGCTGTTCAGTATCGGAAGACGACCTATTGGCCCAGGACGGCGAGCCAGTCGACTGAAGATGAGCGCAGCGTGCCCACTGTCTGATGAAGACAACACTTCAGATCGTAGCAACAGTCGTAGCTCGACACTGGACAGCAATCCTCCTTTAAAGGTAAAAACCCTAAATCTTAAGTATCTCTACCCTATTATGCATTTTTTAAGTATTTTATAGATTGAGTTTCATTTTGGAAAAAGAAAGGTATGTCTGTTTCATAAAATTTGGATTTTGAGTTTGCTTATTTTGAGCTGGCAAAATACTTTAATTAATTTTAAATATGAATGGTTGTCATGACCCAACCCATTCATTCCCATCACACTAGATTTAAGAGTTATATTAAGCCTGAAACCCATAGATTAGAGAAATTTCATTTATCTCCCCAATATATAGACCCACAAGTTTACAATAAGTTACCACTCCGCATAAAAATATTGATTGTAATAGACAGTTCAGATCCACCCTGAAGACCTGGTTAAAAACAAAAAAATTTTTTCTATCTAATGTTATTTAAATAGGGACATAAAGTTAGATTAATAATTTAGTAAGACATTTTTGTTATTTCTTAGTTTTAGTATTATCCTGTATATGACTTTATGTCCTGTCAAATGATGTAATGACATGTAATGAATAAATAAATAAATTGAATACTCATAAGAATAACAAGAAACCTTTGAATTCCGTGGTGCGTAGCCCTATAGGACTTTCACAACTATATGCCTATGTGTTTCTCAAGACTATCAAGTACTTCAAAATGTCAGCTTAATCTGTCCAATAGTTTTCACATGATGGAACTTCGGAGTTATACACAAAAATCCATATTTTAACATTTATAATATATTAAAGTGGTTTAAATACCTGCGTTTATAAGTAATCCAATTCGTTGCTTTATGCTGCAACCGTTTTCAACTCCGTGGAGTCATCTTCAGGCGTACAAGGATAATGTTTTCAATTCATTTGAAGGTCGTAGTATTAAATAAAAAGGGAAACTCAAATATTGAACAGACACTTTTGTTTTACATATAAAAAAAAAACACTAAATTTACTAAAACGGTGAGCCGGATGTAAAGTCTATAGACTCGCGGTGGTGGTGCTTTGGTCTACTGGTATTTAAACCACTTTAACTATTATACAGTAACTAGCGAACCCGTTGTGGCTTCGCTCTCAAAAATTTTTATAAAAAATTTGTAATAAAAAATGTTCAACCTGAGCAGGGTCTACACTTCTTGATTTTTTAAAAGATTAATAAACTATTAAAAATCTGTTATGCAGTAAAACAATTTTTTCAACCCACAAAAATTATGTAAATATTTTCATTTTTGTCAAAAAATAACCAGCTGTTCCCTTAATTACAGATTCAAAAGTATTCATAGGTTCAAATGTAAACAAATTGTTTCTCCAAAAGGATAACATGGGATACTTCTAAAGCCACTGGGGCAGAATTGGTGGAATTTCTTGAAAACGATTATTTCACACCTAGAGGTTGATTGAAACGTCCATGCCAATTCCTGAGTTTTTATGGCTTGTAGTTTTTGAGATATAGTGATCAGTGAGTGAGTGAGTGGTATTTGACTTTCATAATTATACATCTAGAGGCTAACGTCCATCAATTTATATACAATCTAAGCTTTAGCATTTTTTAATAGCGTCAATTATATTTACAATGCAAGGGTCTCAATACGAAGCAAATTTATTTACACACAAAATCTAAATATTTCATTGTCACTGATTACTTTTATCAATCACAAAGAAAGGAAGATTGTAATGTTTACAATCTTCCTTTTTATTATCTCTATTTCCGTGTTCCGAGCTGTAGAAACTTGAAATTCAATCCCATTCTATTCAATAGCTCGAAACTGAAGCACTTAATTTCACTAGACACTAGACTTAGGCTTCCAGTTGATAACACAGGTGAAATCGAATAGAAATAATGTTTCCGACAACTTTAAGTCATATATACTAACATACTGTCTTTCAGTTTGTGATCGATATGTTTGTGCAGAGGGCAGGCAGTGACGGCAATTCAAGTTCGGACTCAGAAGCCCTAACAATCTCCAGTCAACTCCCGGTCGCATAGTTTGTCACCATGACGCTTCACATCCATAGCCTACCTTCAGCATGACATTTTATACACTAGCCTACATTGTTATTTAATAATTAAACATTACATATTTAGCGTTAACTGATCTTCTGTAACAATCTTTTGACCGTAATTTTTGGTTTGTACTTAAAAAGACGAAAATACTTATTGAATTCTTTTGTAGAGTTGTCGAATCCTTTTAAAATTATCGGATCTAGTAAGCGGATAGCGTAGTGTTATTTGTTATCAATATTTTATACTTACCGCAAAAGGCATAAAATAACAAAAAAAATTGTAAATATGTATTATAGATTAAGAGTAAGATTTATTTTCCTAAGTACAATATTCGACTCATGTACCTTATAGCCTTTGTTAATGTAAAGTTTTTCTTTGTTTTTTACTTTTTTATGAAGCTTAAAGTGTGTGATTTTGGAATCCTGTAGTAAAATGTTTTTACTTTACAGCAAGCAAATGTCATACTTTAATTTACAATGTACGTTTTGTTTTATACTTGATCCAACCTTTACAAGATAAACGAGGATTACAATCAAAAGATTTAATGTACAAATTTTAAGCTGCTGTGCTGCTTAAAAAACCTAACTCATAATAATTGTTAGAAAGCTTCATTTTCTCCTTCATCCATTATATTGTGACCACTTATTTCGCTACATGGTATATAGTTTGGGGATTTTCATTTTCTGTAAAGAGATTGTCAAGTATCGTATAAGCTAATAAACCTAGAAACTTGTACTTATAAGGTACCAATGTGCTAGATTACAATAATTGTATCGCAATATTTTACTTTATGATAACAATCTGTAATATCGGATTTGAGTTTGTTAATTTAGTTACATTTGTGTTTGAGGTATTGCTCAATGTCTAGTCTGTATTTAATTTCTGCAAGTCCAGTGAAAAAGCAGACCTTTGAAGATTTTTGTTTCTTCAGCCATTGAAGAACTTTCATATTGACCTGATATTTTACTTTTATACTCGAGTAAAATATGCATACTATTTTGTCGTGCAAAATAATTATCCTTGGTTCCGTTTCAGGAACCTGAAAATATTTTTATTGGTAGCTCCTAAAAGCCTATGTATTGTTGAAGAATAAATATACATAGAATAAATTTTCTGTGGATATATGTTAAATTTGTAGTTTATATACCTATGTTCCGTTCCATCAGTTTTAAGTTAGATTTTTATTGGTAACAGGAAGCCACTAAAAAGTGTCTTGTTGTATAGCAATGTATTTTCAGATTTGTTGTTAAATAAAGAATTTTTGATAAGAAATGTATTAGTTGTCATTGATCTGAAAGGGGTTTATTTGTTTAGGCAGTCTACTTATAGTCCGTTCACAACATTTAGGCAGTTTGAGGGGAAGTTCTCCCACTACTTTTTTTGCTTTTTGGCAATACTCAGATGTTGAGATGTTTTAAAGGTAGGGTCAAGTTTTCTTCCCCTAAATTTTATGAACGGACTCGAGTATTGTTTACAATAATTACTGATACTACAGTTGAACCTTGATAACAAGACTCTCATGTGGATTACTAACCCATTGGCGCTGACTTGCGAGCGTTACTCATATGGCAGGTGCAGGCCCGGCAGCTGATGTACGAGTGCCGCTTGTGTCACCTCTTCGCCTATTTATTACTATTTTCCCCCCTTTTTGTTTCTTCTTTCTTTTATGATGTTTATAAATATCTTGCTTCTTGTTTTGTAAATTTACTTATTTTTTTGCGAATAACAAAGTTGTGTTGCCATGGAAACCAGGTACTGGATTACCCAAAATCAGCTGCGGTAAGGTAAAACAAACATTTTTTTCTATGTTATTACTTAAAAGTAAACAACTTGTGATTTTCTACGTAGGGTATCAATTGAAATTTATAACAGTAGTGTCACTTGGTGTCTGGATTAATCTTAGAATTTGTAAATCAAGTTTACAATTTTGATTTTATAATCTTTATAGCCTAATTTAATTTTTTATTTATTTTACACTTTGACCATCAAATAACCATTTATTTTAGAGCCGGGACTTCAAATTGAATACTTTTGCAGTTGGTGGCAGCCAATCACAAGACAAGGCTAGTGCGACGTTGCCACATCGTCAGTTGACAACACAAATTTTCAAATCAGCTGTTATCATTAGATTTGGCAACACCGCACGGTTCTTATTGGTTCATTCAAATATGGTAAATAGGCTCCTCTCTCAACTGCAAACTTACGTGGTCCCGACTGTAGACAATTTTACTGTGAACAAAATGGCGAAAGAATTATTTAATTGTGTTAACGACACAAGTATAAATTTAAGGTAAAAGCCTTTGTGAGTGCTGTAAAAACTTCTAATTGCCACTGACAGTGATGCAACGAATCATTGTACCAAACACTAATTTCACCACTCAACAATTAAAGTGCCCTGAACAGCTGATTAGCTGATGTTCGAAGCATTACAATTTTATTTCTTTTCTTTCAATCCTTGAACCTCATTAGTCTGTTACCTGTGTTGTTATGTAAAACCATGCTGTTATGAAAGCAAACAATGCTGTTATGAGAAACTTTTCAATTCTAAGAACTGAACTTAAACGGCTAAATTAAAAAATGGCCGTAGGTAAAAACCCTAAATGTTTTTATGAATGTAATTTTATAATACTGTAAAGTCAGGTCCATATTAAGAATCTTCTATGAGGCTCCTGGCCGCTACACCATTGAGGCCACAGAGTTTGTATTCTTCATTTGCTGGGCTTTGATTAAGTGATAAGTTGTATTAATATTGATTTGTTGCTGAGTGTTATACTGACAAGTACTGTATACAGGGTGATTGATATAAGTGTGCCAGCCGTTTTATTCGAAAACTATAAGAGATATAAAAAAAAGTTAAATGGTAAGTGCCTTGGATATTTTATTTAAAAAATTGTAGTCAAGTCAAAAAAATTATTTTAGCCGCCATTTTTCCAATTTGGCCGCCAACTTTGATTTTTCTTAAGGAACGTATTTTATGATGTATTCTGGTAGAAAATGTGATTTTAAGACGATTTTATTCTTGTGATTTTTTCATAAACCTAACCGTTTCATAGATAATAATGGTTAAAGTTTTAAAATTTCTGCATGAGAAAGAATTTCTATAAAGGCCTAAGCAAGCATGTCAGCTATATTATTATAGATCCATTCAAAATTTTACAACTTAAACCATTATTATCTTTGAAACGGTTAGGTTTATGAAAATAATCACAAGAATAAAATCGTCTTAAAATTACATTTTCTACCAGAATACATCATAAAATACAGGGTGTTCCATAAGAAAAATCAAAGTTGGCGGCCATATTGGAAAAATGGCGGCTAAAATAATTTTTTTGACTTGACTACAATTTTTTAAATAAAAAATCCAAGGCACTTACCATTTAACTTTTTTTGATATCTCTTATGGTTTTCGAATAAAACGGCTGGCACACTTATATCAATCACCGTATTGTACACTTTCCTCAGGGACGTATTTAGGTATCTGCCGCCTCTAGGCAACAAAGTTTGCCGCCCCCCCTCCCCGCTCCAACACCCACTTTTCAGCGCACACCCCGACCTCCCCAATGGCCAATACATGCCCTGCCAGCTGATTTTGTAGAAAAATAATCGGTAATATTGCATGCTGCATCAACAAATTTAATAACTTTTTCACCACACTATGATGTTTTTAGCTGTTTTACATGCGTTAATTGGTGGCTGAAAGTTGCGTTTTGCCGGCCATGCCAGCTGTCATCGTCATTTGGGGACCGAGCAGGTTCTTACGCAAAATTAAGGAACGCGGCAGCGTTCCGCCCCGCCAAGTCCCCCAGCGGTACACAGCTGCTGCAGTGTATATATACATGACGTGACAAAGTGGCTTTTTCACTCGTCTATAGCTCTGAAGAAACAAAAGCTATTAAAATAATTGTCCATCTATTGGATAGGGGCACTCATTCTCAACAAAATAAAAAAAAGAATTTAAAAAACGGTTGTGTTTGAGCCAAGAAAAACTAGTTTGAAAATTCACAAATTTTCCGTGTTCTCCTTCTCCTCCTCCTTCTCCTTGAATGTTGACGGACCTACAGCCCAAACCACTGGCTCAATTTTAATGTTCTTTATGTTGTTTGAAAGCCCTTAACGTGTAGATGTGCCTTTTGAGGGTCTCAAGTCGGTGAGTTGACCCATAAACCCTTGGCAAGCCCCCAAAGTACGATTTTGGCCCATTTAAATAACATGGGATTAAAATCAAAACAAAAGAAGGACCAGCTGCGATTAAATCTCAGTTAATTTCAATGTTAGAGAAATTCATAGGAACAGCTGAAAAATTATTTGAAGGCCGAACTATATAAAACTACTTAGAGCAGTGATATTCCCCGATACTTTCCATTGAAAAATGCAGTGTACCGATGGTACACTGGTACAGCAGCTCGTCATTTTTAACAGTTTAATACTACTTATCAAAACATATGAAACCTAGGAACTTGAAACTTAGTACTAGGACTTAGGTTTGTTTTATGTTTTGATACACTAAAACAATCGGGAAATTCACTCTACGTATGTTAAACAAGCAATCCAAAAGTGATATGTAAATTTAGGATAAATGAGTTTTTCAATATTTGATTGTCTTGTGCTATTTCTAACAATCCTAATCTGTTGGCTTACATTTTTACTTATCTAATAAGGGCTCAATTTACACTAGTCTTTAGATATACCTACGGGTTTAATTATCAGAACACTTATGTAACACCAACGCATTTTATGTTGTTCAAGATGACCATTGATGAAATTTGAAACTGATATTTTAACTGTTAATTTTCTACAAAAATAAATAAAATCTAACAAAAAACCACAAAGTGGTATCACTTTCCCCGCCAAGTCAGCAATCCAAAAAAGATAATAAATCATTACTTTTTCCGCCAAGAAAAACAATGTAATGTATGTAAGTTTGGCAACTTGGCGGCAGACTTTTGCTCGATCACTTTAAAAAAATACCATAAAAATAGTTTCATTGAGCAAGTATCTCTCCCATTAGTACATTGCTAGGTGAGAGCTTATTTTACAAAATTTGACCTTATTTGTGCCACATTTCATAAAATCATAATAGTGATGGTTTTATTTACTGATTACCTCGAAATTATTATACTTAGTTGGACTAATTAATTAGAGAAATTGATTTATGAAATTATCCACGAACGTAACTTTAATGAAAAAAACCAAGCAAATGTCTGCTAGCCGCCAAGTTGCCAAACTTACATACATTACATTGTTTTTCTTGGCGGAAAAAGTAATGATTTATTATATTTTTTGGATTGCTGACTTGGCGAGGAAAGTGTTACCACTTTGTGGTTTTTTGTTAGATTTTATTAGGGCCGCAAAATCAGCTGACCGCTTACTTTCCTAAAACATGAATGCATATTAAATACACAATCAGTATCCATAGCATTGCAATAGAATTGTTTTATTTTCACCGCTGCCTAGCAACTATTTATTTTAATTTTTGCTGATTCCTCAAATTATTTCTTCACATAACCTTAAAGTTGTAGTTGTGTTGCCTATCAGTGTGCATCATTATTGTGGTGAATACTGCATAGTGCTAATAAGGTATAGTGTGGTGAAAAATAGCGTTTGTACCACGGACCGAAATGGTTTTGCAGCTCTTGGTCGTTTTAAGTCGACTTCGTCTCGAACTTAAAAACTATCTCGAGCCGGCGAAACCTCATTTTCGGCCCTAGGTACGAAATATACTATTTCATTTCGACCCCTTTTAACGGACGTTTTTGCGCCGTTTTTATGCAAAACATTCTGACTGGGATAGGCCTACACGGAATGCAACTTTTTTTATCAAAACAGCATTTTTACAATCCCATTTTGCGGCTTGAAACGGCACATAAATTGTCTGTATACAATGGTTCTTATAACGCATTTCATTGAACACTTTTAGTGAGATCCACTTGAGAGACGCGCTATTGGCTTTGATTTGAAATGAAAGAAATATGTTAACTTATATTATTTTTTAATTTACAAAAAACACATGAATCGCAAAGAAAAAATTACGTACTTTTACAGAAAGAATATACAGTTTTAAACTAGTTAAGTTTGGTACAGTAGTAAGTAATTTGTTCACACTTTCCTTCTTGATTTTAACCTAGCAAGAAACTTGTAGCTAGCGCTGTCGCTGCGTAGTGGTGTATGAAGTAAACAAAGGGGAGTGTTTTCTACGTTTGTCACTAGGCCTACATAGCGGCCGGCACGGCGACCCGCTCCCCCGGCGAACGTGTCCGCCAGACCAATAGGGCAGCACGGACAACTCTACACAGCTGTGTAATAAACTATTGACGTTTGTTTGACTTTAATGCGTTCTGAAATAGTTTTATACTTAATCAAAATATTTGAAATGGCTGTTTTGCCGTTCCCAGAATTTTTTGCTAAAATTTTTTTTAGATTAAAATCTCTTTAATTTTATTTTTTTACCCTCAAAATTTTGCCGCCCCTAAAATTTGCCGCCCTAGGCGGGCGCCTAGTCCGCCTATTCGGAAATATGTCCCTGACTTTCCTTTCCTTTTATATTTAATTTTTTTGTGTTCTTTAATGTTGTCTTTAGCAATGTAATGCTGACAAATGACAAAAGATTCAGATCATGGGGTTTAGAATAACATGTGGTATTGTTTCTACTCGATGCAACCCGACCCTCAGTTTTTGACGATCCTATTGTCAAAAAGACCTAGCAGGCTAGGAGACTGGCTAATAAATAATTCCAATTTACTGTTTAACATTACGTATCTGCAGACGAGACTTATCTACTTTAGGTCGGGTCAAAGATGTTGACCATCAATTTTCAATATTTTTATCTTTTCTATTCTATATAACACTTAACTGGTAGTAATAATAAAACAACTTTATAATACAATAATTTAATGAAAACCTCACATAAGTTTAAATCCTAATATAACGTATAACTGTAGAACAAATAATACAGAACTATTTTAAATAAAATAATGGAAATAATTAACATCTCTGAATGAGTTAGAAATTCACAAACAATCAATGCCGGAAAACTTAAATCACTCAACAATCTACTTTTAAGCAGAACACTTTGTATTATACAGGGCTTTGTACCTTCAAGAAAATAAATTTGCTTGCATTTGTGAAATTGCAAGGTCAAAACTATCCTGACTATTAGAAAATATACATTTTTGTAGAATAATAAGTAAATAAATGCAAGGAAAACAGAAAAAAACGTCATGCAAAACCCCATTTTGCTTGAAATTAAAGTAATGCTCATGGTGTCCTCACTGTTTTTAACTATTAAATCAACAACTTTTGAAGTGTAACCAAAAATTTCATAAAATGTTGCACTTGGTGCTTAACTTGTGATTCAAACCACAACAGATTTAGCTGTCGAGCAACTTTCTTACATAATACATTGTTTCTTATCAATAACATCTTAGATTATAACATAAAGGATATTTTATACAAGAGAGAGGTTAAGTTTTTATGCGTTATCAGAGCTAGTCTTGATTCCAGCCATTTCCTTAATATCCTTGATCAGTCTTCTGCAATGGTCTGTGACATCAGGCTTCTTAGCGGAAACCACAGACATTCTCAACCTTGTTTCGTCCTGCAAAATCAAATTTTGGTCAAGTTGTGAACAACGAATGTGAAATATGAACACAGCTGTCGCAGCAAACTTGTTCAACTGATTTACTGAGTGTGTATACAAAAAAGTGTATAAATGAAATGTACATTTAGATCAACGCCAAAACAATTATTTGTGATTGGTACTTAATGTTTGCTGCAAAAAAAGACACAATTGTTATTTTACTTAATTTTTTTAAAGTCTACGATGAAATTAATGAAATAGACAAGTTTTTCTAAAGCATGATTCTTTGTCGCGATAACTTGGCATTTGGCACTCCAACATCCCGAAAATTTAGCAGTGTTCCGAGTTGTTAAAACCCCTTCAACCCTAAAGATCCAAATCTTACCAAACCAAAATTATTATAAAGCGCATACAAATGAATACTAATTCTATGAATATTTGATTTTACAAGTTAAATGACATACGTTAGGTATATTGACAAATTCCAAAGATAATATTTTATTACCACCAAAGTATTTCTCATTTCTTTTACTTCATTCATGTGCCCACTGAATAATTATTTTCAATTCAAACCATTCTCTTGCGTAACATAAATAAATCGACTCACAGCTTTAAGCTTCATTTGAATTTTATTTTTCATTTCAAGATGGTAAAATACACTTCTGAACACACACTTTTATCGCTTAATTACTTGGCTCGATTCAAACCTTAACTATAATATTTAACAATTGTTACCTTTGTTAGAGAGGGGAACTGAACTTACATTATATGTCTCCATCTTGGCTCGGAGGCGGAACAGATACTCCCGGAACATTACGGTTGACAACACTTCGTTGAGATTTCCCTCGTCCTGATACTTGGGTGCCACTTCATCAGGAGTTACTCCTAACAGTTCGATGGCTTGGTCTTGGAAAACATTGACCCATTGAGACCCAGTCCAGTCAGCAATCTGAGCCTGTAATCAACACGACCTTGAAGAATTCCATTGACCTTTGGGTACTGCAGTGGTGATTCTATATGGACCAGCTGTAGCTTATTTTGTATTCAAAAACAACATAGGTGAATGAGCCTTTACAGATAGTGCTTGTTTTATTTTCTCTTCGTTTTTGTTAATTGTGATAATGGATGTGACAAAAGAGTAGGGATGGATTGGTCCCAAAATTTGGGGAAATTTTCATGGAAAAAAATATTCCCAAAAATATGGACGGGATTTAATCTGATCATCGGCGATTTTGTCGCTTCGTGATTGACGATTACGCTGCTATCGCGAGCAAGATGTTCACGATTGTTCCACCAACGCAGAAGGCGATGTCATTTCGACGATCACACCGAGACCGCAGGTCATTTCGACCATCGCGCCGTGGCCACGAGTCACAAGTTTCTATACCTGTAAATGTTTACCCATTTTTTGGTTTTCTAGATTAGTGCCACAAATAGCAAAAATTTATTTTGTTTGTCTATTTTAGTAACTGCAATACTCAAGACTTTTAAAACAAACCCTTTTTATGCACAGGAAAAATCCCGTCCTGTCCTGAAAATTGGGAAGGAAATAAAAATCTTGTCCTGTCCCAAAATAAAAATTCAATACCGTCTATGCCTACAAAGAGATGCTATGGCTCACAACAATTCGACCTATCAGCTTGACTAGAGTAAAAAAATTGGCGTGACAGAAATCTGTTATTTATATCAGCACACTTTGACGAAGGCTCAATTCACGGTTATTTTTATTCTAAAACTGGCTAAAAATTTCCCATGGGAATGGAATGTCTAGTTCTGTCGATAATTCATAGACGAGGTTTCCCTCTTTCTGCTACTGACACTAAAAAGAATAAGAGTAAGAATATTTATTTTTTTTCAGTAATACAAGTATTACAGTAATTAAATTACAAGATAATATACAATACAATACCCCCGCCGCAGCAAACCTGCAGACTTAGCGAATTTCCATTTGCCTGATTGGATTTAAACTAAAATGTCTCCTTAAAAATATCACATTTATTCCCTATTTAAACAGAATTAGTTTAATGAGTACTTAGGTTTGCTGCAACAGGGAGGGTAAAAAAGTTTTTTATGTAAAATATTAAAAGGTACTGCGGTTTAGTAAGAAATTAATGTATTTTCGAAATTTGATCAAAATATGTCCATAAACAAGCAAACTACAACAGTTGACTTATTCTCCATAAGAATAACATGGGAATTTTAAAATTACAATTTTTTTGAATTTTCTCCGTAACAATTAGGCGCATAATAACGCTTCAATATACTAAATTATTTGTTTTTTTAAGCTCTACAAAATGGTTTGAAAAGAAATTGTGAAATTTTGTGTTTTTAGGGTCAAAAATGGGAAAAACCTATTTTTACCCCATAAAACCCCCGTTCCCATAGTCCGATCATGCTGGTTCGCGAACTCATTCAAGTTTATCCCACCTTACACCTTCAAACCAAATTTTATCAAAATCGGACAAAAATTACTCAAGTTATCGTGCGGATGGACACACACATATATATATATATATATATCTCTATATATAGATATATAAAAATTTGAACGAATGGTGTTTTTGGCCTCTGGGGACATCAAAATGAAAAAGTAAATCGGTCCCGGGCTTAGGTCTTACCATGAGACCTACGGTAATAGCTACTTCCCTATAGGGAAATTCGCTAATACATGCAAAAAATACCCCCGCCGCAGCAAACCTGCCAACTAAGCGAATTTCCATTTGTCTAAATTGATTTTCAGTTAAATATATTTTAATAACATTAGGTTTAACGAGTACCTAGGTTTGCTGCTACAAGGAAACTAATAAAGTGTGTTTTTGAGTAAAATTTTGATAGCTTAGTACAAAATAAATAAATTTGTCAAGTTTGATCAAAATATATCCATAAACAAGCAAACTACAACATTTGACAATATTCTCCATAAGAATAACATGGGAATTTTAAATTTACAATTTTTTTAATTTTCTCCATTACTAATAATCGAACAAAAATACTTTTATATACTAAATTATTTGTTTTTTTAAGCTCTTTAAAAAGGTTTAAAGAGAAATCTGGAAATTTTGTGTTTTGAGGGTCAAAAGTGAGAAAAACCAATTTTTACCCCATAAAACCCCCCGTAAAGCCCCATTCCCATGGTCCGATCGTGATGGTTCGCGAACTCATTCAAGTTTATCCCGCTTTACACCTTTAAACCAAATTTCATCAAAATCGGACAAAAATTACTCAAGTTATCGCGTTCACGGACGTATATATATATATATATCTATATATATATATATATATATATATACATATATAAAAATTTGAACGAATGGTGTTTTTGGCCTCTGGGGACATCAAAATGAAAAAGTAAATCGGTCCCGGTTCTAGGTCTTACCGTGCCACCTACGGTAATAGCTACTTCCCTATAGGGAAATTCGCTAATAAATATATATGTAATATTCTTTTAAACTAGTGTCCCACATGTCAGACTGACTAAGAGGAATAAAAAACTGGCTTAGTCACAACAATATTAACATAGTAAAAAACCCTAAACATTATACCTAGATAAAAATTGTGTTTTTGTGCAAGTAATTGGGAGAAAATGTAGGGCCCCCGAGTCTAAGCCTGTTTGGGGGTTCCTTCATTATAAAAATACCCCCGCCGCAGCAAACCTGCCGACTAAGCGAATTTCCATTTGTCTGAATTGATTTTCAGTTAAATATATTTTAATAACATTAGGTTTAACAAGTACCTAGGTTTGCTGCTACAAGGAAACTAATAAAGTGTGTTTTTGAGTAAAATATTTATAGCTTAGTACAAAATAAATAAATTTGCCAAGTTTGATCAAAATATATTCATAAACAAGCAAACTACAACATTTGACAATATTCTCCATAAGAATAACATGGGAATTTTAAATTTACAATTTTTTTTAATTTTCTCCGTTACTAATAATCGAACAAAAATACTTTTATATACTAAATTATTTGTTTTTTTAAGCTCTTTAAAAAGGTCTAAAGAGAAATTGGGAAATTTTGTGTTTTGAGGGTCAAAAGTGAGAAAAACCAATTTTTACCCCATAAAACCCCCCGTAAAGCCCCGTTCCCATGGTCCGATCGTGCTGGTTCGCGAACTCATTCAAGTTTATCCCGCTTTACACCTTTAAACCAAATTTCATCCAAATCGGACAAAGATTACTCAAGTTATCGCGTTCACGGACGTATATATATATATATATACTTTTGTACCCACCCGGAGAGGCAGTCACCGCGCTGGTAATTTACTCGGTGTGGCAGTCACCCGCCCGAAAGCCAGTCAGCTCTCCCAAAAGCCAGTCAGGTATGGCTTCCCGTGCACTTTATACGTTTGAAAACAGCTAAACCGGTGCTGCTGCCTGTGTCAATAAGCGTAACTGCAATACCAATGCGAAGACTGTCTCATCGTGTGTTCTATCGTGGAGTAGTGTAGCCAGTACGGCACCCTCCTCGCCTACTTTGTAGTGGTAACACCCAGCGGTCAGTAACCTTCGTTTACTCCTTGTTACTATTTATGTTGGGATAGTGATTAACTACGTGTTAATGTTTAAACATGTTCATATTCCAAATAAAGATGATGCACCTCTAATAAGGAACTACGAATATTAATTAATTTTAATTATAAATGGTTGAATCTTAAAAACCTACCCGGTCATCACCCGGGGGGTCTGGGGGGCATGGAATACCCCCCAGGACCGAAGGGGGGGAAAATTTTTTGTATTTTATGGTGCTAAATTGCAGTTTACAACACCTCTGGAGGCTCCAAAGTAGAGAATAATATTGGTGTATTACTACTAAAAATTCGTTTTTTACTGTTCTGAAATCCAAACAAGTTGCCTAAACTACTATTAATCTGCGTGACGTAATTTTAATAAAATTAATCAAGCTAACAAAACTACACTCAAATTATAGAATAAAGCATACTAGTGGTCGTCCAGTGATCGAAAACTCGACCAAAAATATGTAATGTACACGCAATGACTATTGGATACTGAAGTAGACACTATATGTACCAGCTGCTGTCATTTTTTTAATTATAAAACATTGTACAGAAGACCCTATATTATAATCGGCACTGTACCACTCCGGCACTCCAGTAATCCGGCGTCTTTTGGCGGGAGGTCTACCGCGGTCGCGGCAAAATTTTGATTATCTCCCGCGGCCGTGTAGATATCATCATTCTCTCCCGCGGTCATGAAAACGTCATCGTCGTCTTGCGCGATCGCGGCAATATCATGAACATCTCCCGCGGTCATGTAGACATTATCGCTGTCTTCCGCGGTCGTGGCAAAATATTGTATCATCTCCCGCGGCCATGTAAACAGCATTGTCTACTCCCGCGGTCACGGAAACGCCATCGTCGTCTTGTGTGATCGTGGCAAAATCATGAACATCTCCTGCGGTCATGTAGACATTATCGTGGTCTTTCACGGTCGCGGCAAAGATTTTATCATTTCCCGCGGCCATGTAAACATCATTGTCTACTCCCGCAGTCACAGAAACGTCATCGTCGACTTGCGCGGTCGCGTCAAAATCACGAACATCTCCCGCGGACGTGTACACGTTATCATCGTCTCCCGCGGTCACACGTCATCGTCGTCATGAACGATCGTGGCAAAATAATGATCATCTTTCGTGGCCGTCCACATTATCATCGTTTCCCTCGATTACGGAAACGTCATCGTCGTCATGCCCGATCGCGGCAATAGCGGTTTCCGATCGCGCGATCTTCGGAGACGTGTTTTAATTGCATTTTTAAGTGTTTTTATTGATAACATTCCAGTAATCCGGCAAATTTATATAATAACAACACGTATTGTGTAGAGTGTTTACACACTCATTTGACTGTTTCTAGAACGCGCGTTGCAAACGCTCCCGTGTGCCGTGTGTACAGGGTAACTAAAACCGGCCCCCTTGGGCCCCCTCCCTGGATACGCCA